GTATGTTTAATAGAGATGTTTGAATTTGAGTCCGCGGCGTTGTGGTTTTCGTTGTCTAAAATTCATAAAATTCTTATAAAAATGACAGTGGTGTTGTGCGTTGTGAAAAGTTCAATTAAATCCTGATATTTTAAATTGATAGTTAAGTATATTTTTCCAATATTTAGAGATGATCCACGTCCCACATCTCGATTAACAAACGATGAAATGATGTATTATATTATGTCACCTTATCAATTAATACATTATTTATAACGATGTATTAATCGATAATGTAACAAACTAATACATGGTGATTTTATAAACGACGGACATATTAACAGAGCATATTATAGAATTTGATTCTAAGTCCGAATCTGGTATGTACTTGTGACCTCATTTTGTTTTGGCAAAGATTATTTTTAATTTTTTCAAACATTATGGACACCCTATTAGAAATTCTTATTCCTGACTATCTCAATACAATAACCTATTTACAAGCATTAAAACCGCTCGCTGAACGCATAATTACTAAACCGCTTATCAATAGGGTGTCTACTTTTAATAGGATAAATTCTTTTAATCAGGGTAGAGCGAGATTTTTTGTAATCGCCATATTGTCGGTGCTTTCACTTTGCTTAAATTGTAAGTTAGCTTTATGTTAAATATATAATAATAACCATTTTTTAATCAATTTAATGCAAACATCAATACTTATTGAAATTAAATCAAGTAGCTGCCGTTATTATACCTCTGCTTCTTGAACATTGAGAAAGCTTCTTCTACACACTTCCGCGACCCTGCCAGCGCTGTCCGCCTCAGCAGCCCCCTCCCGGGGATCAAATACCCTCTCCTCCAGTTAAGGCGCGCTGGAACATTCAGCGCGCCTTCCTACTCGGCCCCATTTTTACGGCCAACGAACTCCCCCGAGTTCACTGACCGGGGCCATGGGAGCCAGGAGAGCCAGTGCTTATAAGCAGCAAGCCTCCCAACCCCCAGCGGCGGACGTGGTCTGTGGCTCCGCCGCTCACGACGTTTCGACCGCGGAGGGTAGGGAGAACGGCCCATCGCAATACCGACACTCCTCTCCCCCCGCGGCCTCACCACCACTGCATCAGCGGTGCAGCCCTGTCGAGTCGCGGAGGATAGGGAGAGCGGCCAAACGCAATATCGGCACGTATTCTTCCTCTTCCTCGGTAGCAGAAGACAGGGAGAATGGGTCCTCCTCCACCACCCTCAACCTGTCTCCTGCACCCTCCAGCACGCATCCAGAGTGGGCTCAATGAGCCCATTCGGAGCGGGCCTCTGGGCCGGCCTTCCACCACAGGCCGGCGCAGTGTGGGTTCCTCTTAGCTTCACCGTGGGTGACCAAGCCGCGGCTACTAAGCCCCTTCGCCACGTCAAGGCGGGTACCCGGTCGGAGGGGTGTTACCTGGCGCCTAGAGCAACCGCTGCTAGTACTGCCTGCGATAGGTAAACTACCTAAGACGATAGTTTAAAAAGGGAATTCAAACAAGTTTTTATCGAAAGAATTGTCTTAATCTAACTGTGGTAGGACAAGCAGCAGCTTCTGCTTATGCATGAATGAGTAGGTTCGTCCGGGAAAGTGCTACTGCCTAACAGATTAATGACCTACATCGCATATACATCAACATGGCAACGTTACATTATATTTATGATGATGACAGAATTTAACCAAAAATTGGCATAACAATTAAAACTATATATTTAAAACCTCGTAATGCGTATATTATACGAGTATTAGAAGCATTCATAAACCGCAAATATTTTAAAACGATACCAGTTCTGATAGTTCGGAACACATATACCGATTTATAAACAATATATACCGTACATATACTGTGGACTTACTACGCATTAAGGTATAAGTTTAAAGCACCCATTAGCATTGATTGGTTGACAAATTACATTAAAGTTAGCGATACATTTCCATTGACAAATGGCTCAACAAATTTGTGGATCATCCTTCAATTGAGTCAAAAACTAATTAATCAACAAATAGAACACCCAGATTAGTGATTTTGTTAGTGTCTCATTTATTAAAAATATCAATTCGTTTGTATTAGAGTCGAAAACTGGCTCCTGCTTTCTTCCTATACGACCAGGTAAACTAAAGGTAAAAAAAATAAGTATAGTTGTATCTAATATGGTAAACCAGTTCAGTAAAAACCCATACACTCTTGCCTTAAAGACGTCACATTATAATAGAACTGAAAAACTGATTCTGGCAAACTGTTACAATCCTTTAAGAGCAGAACCGAGAAGGTGAACCTCTACGTTCGCAGAAATGGAATGGCATCAACAATAGGATGGTATCCTGCAGAGCCTCTATTTATCCGATGATGGAATAGAGGGGTCATGGGGAAATTAAATTATGCAATTTCCGTGCACTGTAACCTATTTATATATATTAAATATATATTCTAATCATTCAAATGCATTACGTAATTATTTTGATAAAACAGACACTTCAATTTCAATCATTACTTGAAACTATACCTCCTAATTGTTCTTTACAATAGACATTAAAGTTAAGTCGACCCTAATTTACATTTAATATAGCATTTCTTTTGTGCTTTAAGTTCTAAGCCCTAAGTGACATGGAACCTGATAGAAACCGAATTGTGTTTTCAGGTTTAGTCTTCCTGCTTTCCATTCTTCCTGCTATACGATATTTGAAATTGTTTTTAGTAAAGGATATAATAATAAATGCACAAAAAAATTCCTTAAAATGCGAAAAACCGATGTAGATTAAAAAATTTGAGATTTTCATCGGGATGACAAACAGCTGTTTGGCTTAGTGGTTAAAGTGTCTGGCAACGACTCCGGCAGACGTGGGTAACTTCCGACGAGCGATGAGAAACTTTTCGTCCATTATTCTATAAATATTAATACACAAGGTAATCTAGTCAAAAACTGCCAAAAGAGAACGGTTAAGCATACACTCATTTATAAATAAATAAATATAGCAGATAAGCACCCAGACACTAGAAAAATCTATGATCGTAAGCATAGCCTCTGGTGAATGAAACAGGTACACCATCCTTTTCTTTTAACTGATGTTACGCTTTCAGTCCTTAGACTATTAAAGCTTCATCGAACGCAGAACCGGTGTGCCAGAACCCACGGGTTTGAGACCTTACTCAGTGCGTGGAGCCGAGCATGTACTCATGCGTGCGTTAGTTGTGACATGTCGCCTACGGGCCATCAAGGGTCGGTGAAGACCGTGACCCGATGGACATTGACTGCGCTTGTTTAGTCGGTGGCTGGGGGCGGTGAGAACCGCCCGGGAACGCGGGTGTACCTAGTGTACGCGTTGTGTTCGTTTCGCCGTGCTCGAAGGCGAGGACGAACTATGGTGTTTGTTGATGCTCTAACTGTGTAGTGTTATTTGGCGGGACCCCCGACGGTGCGTCCGGCGTACTTAAGTCCCCTTCCTCGACCGAGTCGGTGAGGACGTTGCGCGGGCGACGCTTGTTGACGTTCGCTTTAGTGTCGGGTTGGTAATTTGACACCATCCACTACGTCAATCGGGTCATTTAATTCGTGGAGATGACGGTTATCATTTAACGTAGACTAGTAATACTAAAATTAAATTACATAGTAATACTTAAAAAATATGTGTGCGTACTTATATACGCACGAAGTTATACTTCATTAGCGAAAAAAAAACTTTGAATTTTGCCCTGTGTGCCAGTACTCTTTGTTTGAGAATAAGCATTAAATGCAATTGACAACGTTTTAATCAAATAACTTGGAATTATCCTCACTTATATTATAAAGGCGAAAGTTTGTATGTATGGATGGATGTATGTTACTCTTTCAAGCAAATACTGATTTACTGGATTTTAATGAAACTTCACGATAATATAGCTATACATCAGAATAAGACATAGGCTATAATTTATATACATATTTTATGTATATCTGTCCTTCTGTCTGAATCTTATGCCTTCAGCCTATTCTACGCAGACGTAGTGGCGGGCAGCAACTAGTAGGTAATATTTTTTTTTCGTTTTTTTCTTAACACGCTAAAAGAAGTATAATCGAAATGTTAGGTGTGAATAACATTGACGTAGCTAGACCAAGGAAATCATAATTAATGAATAATAAACATACAACTATACTTCTCCATAACTTTTATTAAATTCAAGTTGCAACAATGTTTAAATAACTTCATGTGTCAGTACTACTACCATCACTAACTATTATAAAGTTGAAGGACGCGCGGTTTACACACATGTGACAAACGATACATTTATCTCTATAAAATCTATGATTACAAGATAATTAAATTAATGTAAAACAAACCACTGCTTTTATAGTAAAAGCAACATAAAGAATATGAGAATTTCAATAGACTTGTAAGATTATACATATTTATTCTATGTACTTGTTTATGTGTAGTTTACAAAGCGAAAGGAGAATTTTAGACCTAAGAACTTAGGTACTCACATTCAAAGGATACATAACAAATTAATATTCGAAGACTTCTCATAAAGCATACTAATATATAAAGTTATAATAACCATGTTCTATTAATATTTAATAAAGCAATATATAAACCAGAACTTTATACATTTGTACACATTTAAACAAAATGCTAAAGGACTATTGCAATAAAGAAACAAAATTTTGTACATAACTCTGTTGTAACATAAATATCTATTTACACAGAGTTTAACTATGATATAAACATTTCTTACAATATACAATTACGAAGCCGACAAATTGTAATGTCTACTAATCTTCATTTAATCAAGAGTTACAACATATACATACAGACATTATTTAATATTATTTGTATACATTTAATATTGTGATTTGGTGTCTCCTCTTACAGTTGAAAATAGCTGCATTCTAGTGTTCCTTCTACTTTTTATTTAGTAGCTGAACCTTCAACGTTTTCTAATTAAGTATTTTGTAAGTATTGTGCAACACCAACCCCCTTAAGTATTACAGACACCAAATCACGAATGCATATTTCCTTAACTGTCTTAAAATTGCACCCAATTTTGTTGATTTGCTGGAGTAGTGGGTTTCTGACTGGTAGCACTGAAATAACAAATATTAATGATTTCAGAACAATAGAAGAAGACAAAACTGAATGATATTATCCTGCTATCATACAACAAAATATTAAACATTAATACCACATTTTCACTACTGCCGCCCACGGACATCTCATCTGGTACGTTGCAGATGCGTTGCCAACAAATTTAATAGTTGGCCTCACTCACCCAGGGAAGATGACTACATATTTTTTATTTTTTTTAAACATTGGCCCTGCTTTAGGATAACATTAGGAATCGAACCCACGACGCCGACGCAGAAGGCAATACCTTGGCAACTGCGCTACGGAATCATCAAACTACGTATGTGACCTACGAGTATATGACCAAACATCATTCATATTCATTCCATCATTCGTTTGTACAACACTGACGACACTGGTAATTAAATAGTACTAAGATCTTTCCATAGATGGGATCGCCGTAAGAAAGTAATAAATTATTTATTAACTTCTGTTACATGTATAACACAATGTATGAATAATGCTCAGAACTTAGTTTTACTTATTATTGCATATCAAGGATTAAAACAAACTGGTCAAACCAAACTATGTAAACGTCACAGGTTAAACTGGCAACGTGTGGGCCGGCTGAGGTTCCAGAATCTAGATAAAGTAACATTGTATTACATTACATAAGTATTTTTTACAAATGTTAACATTCTGTTAGTGATATCGATAGTAGAAAAGTTCAAAAGGTATGGAACTGACCGAAAACTTTTGACTTTTGTGCTTAAGGAATAAATATTGATTTTTAAAATGCATACGCTACTGCACAGCAAAATTTTTGAAAGGTTTGCGTCCTCGACTTATTGCCTCGGCTGGTGACAAGAGAGCTGATTCTTCGCTCAAAGGATAAAAAGCATAACTATTCAGCGAGGAAATGCAGCTAGCGTATGTTCGCACCATACCGCGTAGACTATGTTTATTAGACAACATGTAATTTAGTTAGACTTAATATGGGTATAATAAACAAAACAATAAATATGTTTATAATCATTAGTGTCAAATAAAAGAAATTTCTTAATCCAGATCTTTGTTAAAATTAAAACTTGTAGAAAAAACGTCTTGAATCGTCTTCGTCGAATGGAGATAAAAGACGTTAAGATTTTCGTCCGTGGGGCAATCAGACGTTTAGCTTAGTGGCTAAAGCGTCAGGCCGCGAAAACCGAAGACGTGGGTTCGTTTCCTACAGCGGCGACAATCTTTTCGTACTTTTTCTACAAGTTTTAATGTTTAATCTTAAGTGCACAGATTAGCACTATAATAAACTTTAAATTTCCAGATCTTTGTATTAAAGATACGATCAAAATTCGTCCAATAAATGGGGAGCACACTAAACGGGCAATTGAGTGGAGTAATTCAAATCGGGAGCAAGAAGACGAAAGAAAGTGAAATAAACAGTGTAGTGAAAAGTGTGGTGCAGTAAAGGAGAGGAGAGGTGGAGAAGTGTACGCGGAGGACTCGTCGAGGCCATCAAACCCGTAGTAGTTAAAGTGTACTATTTGTACGGCATCAAGAGGACCGCCGTGTACGTTGTATTCGTAAATAAATCTTCATTAAGAATACCGGCGGCGTTTCAATTCGATCCCGAACCCCTAGCTCGTAACAATAATAAATAAATATGTGAAATATGTATTTAAATATATGACGTAATAATTTAGATTATAATTATTATCGAACTTCGTAATGAAGCATTAAAATCATTACAGAACTTTTGTATTTTCTATATAAAATAAAGTAAATTAATATTAATAAGTATTTATGAAAATGAAAACGTTTATACTTTCTAATTCTTCTCCCCATAGTATGAAATAAAGTCGTCCCGCTGTCTGTCTGTCCCTATGTATGCTTAGATCTTAAAAACTACGCAACGGATCTTGATGCGGTTTTTTTTATTAGATAGAGTAATTTAAGAGGAAGGTTTATATGTAAAATACATTGCACCCGTGCGAAGCCAGGGCGAGTCGCTAGTATAAAATAAATTGTATCTTCTTGTCTGCATAGACGATCAGTTGCTTACTGTTTTACATTCCTGTTAAAAGTTGTGTATTAATAAAATTTCACCTTGCAGAATTGAAGTCACCCCATTCAGAATTAGCAGTAGCAGCCGTTGGAACAGCCGGGTTAGGCGCATGCTGCGGTGATGGGGGTGGTGGAAGCCGTGAACCACCCGGAGGGGGGGGCAACAAACCACCCACAGCTGCGGCACCAGCCCGCTTCGGTCGACTGCCTTCACTGCCATCCTTTTTCTTTAAAATATTAAAGATCATGACATTAGAACATTTTTATTTAATTTTATTAGAGACACTAACTAATGTTTTATTTTGCATTTGTATATTTTTGACAAAGATATTTAAATTGAAAGAATTTATACACATTTACACGTTTTTAAAACATATTCAGCCAAATATTCACTTCATGACAAACTTTGCGTAAGTGGGAAACAAGGTATTTTCCTGGTGCTCATAGTTTGGTACGAAGTTTCGTTCTACTACTCTCTTGCTGTATGGCCTATTGTTGGGAAAAACTGACTCCACAAGTTGCACAGTTCACAAAAAAATGACAGGGAGCATTTACAGACAGCTGCCGTTGTGACCATCTATCAATACCCTGCGGCATAGTTGATCTTTTTATGGGCCTATACACACACACACCTTGCTGTAATACACCTTGTTTTGTTTTTTTTTTTATGTGAAATTGGCAAACGAACTGGCGGTTCACCTGATGTGATATACCTACGCCACCCATGGATATTTGCAACACCCGTAGGGTTGCAAATGCGTTGCCGCCTTTAAATAAAGTGGACCCCAGCTACCTCACTCATCAAACGAAACGCAAAAGTATAACACCTACTTTACGCCGGTCTTCTGTGAGGACGTGGTACTAACCCGGACGGACCTGCCAATTCGTGCAACAGTGAACACTGTTGCGTGGCCCTACCACAGTTGTGTCACTCTCCGTATCCTACAAAACTCGACGGAGTTCACTTCTGATGCAGCAGTATAGGTCCCGAGTCGTATGGTTCCGGATATACCGACATGTTATTGCATAACTTGGTTTTAAGTGGCCAAAAATTGCATGAAAAACGCACAGTGGTGGAGATCGAGATGGCAACGACGGTATTTGGCAATATGGAGCGATACACATACGGTCGTGAAATAAAGCAGGTCATTAATCCAAAAAAAAAACCTGAATTATTTCAATTCTAACAACTCTTAAGGGCATTTTCCATGAAAGTTGCTAAAAATGCAAAGAGTCATCTCTGTGCAATGCCAAACATATGTACGGATATGAAAACAGTATCCCATGGCTGCAGGCGATGGGACGGCAGAAAATACTGCTGCTACCTTCTTTGCTCTACCTATTACACCAATCTTTTTAGAATCCAGCTTAGCTTTCTCTTCCAAGTAACCGCGAAATTAATAGCTCGATATGTCAATTCCAAGTATTCCTATAGAGACTGTGGCCACAAGGGCAGTGCCCTCAAAAAAGGAGACATAACCAAGCGTTTCTCCTTTGCGGTAAACGTGCGACTTTGTGTCTTCTTAGAGTTAAATTGGACTAAATTTTTAGTCTGCCGTATTCGGTGATTTTGACTAACAAATTCTTGACTAAACAATTTATTCTGACAATCATCGGTATATTCCTCAGAAGTTTTGTCCGGCTGGTATATAAAGCGTCATCTGTACTGTCATCCACATAGCAATAAATGTTGTAATATGCAATATTCCTTCACGGGTTATACGTCAGAATATGTACCGTTAACAACGACCTTCATGCTCCGATCCGTACGAAAACTGGTAACCAATTGCATTATTTCTCGGGAAGTTGATGTTCCAAACCCGATCGAAGGCTTTCGCTTAGTCGTAACTAATCGCCAATGTCTACCCCTTGGTGTCAACTGCCTCCACCCATCGATGAGTTAGATAGACCAGAAGATGAAGACCTAAGCGAAAGCGACAGAAACTATACTGACAAACACTAATCGGTTGGTTGGATTCACCTAAGGAGACGACAGTTTAAAAATAGGCTATATTATTTTGGAGAACGAAGAAAATGGCATGCTTATAGTTGATATAAGTATTTAATAATGATATAAGTATATAATAATGATATGAGTATATATAAATGATTTCCCCTCCTATGCCAGTGAGTTTTGTGATGTTGTATTGTTTGCTGACGATACATCACTCATATTTAAGGTTGACCGAAATTTATCCAATTATGGCGACGTAAATGGTGCACTTTCGCATATCCTTCACTGCTTCACCATAAATAATATGATATTAAATGCCAAAAAAATTAAATGTATTCTCTTTACTCTTCCTAGTGTGAGAAGGCAAAGTTTTAGTTTATTATTAAATAACGTATCCCTGTTGAGTCTGCAGTTTTCTTGGGGATTACAGTAGATTCAAAGCTTCAGTGGAGTCCCCATCTATCATCTCTTGCGAGTAGGCTAAGCTCCGCTATTTTGCTATTAGGAAGGTTAGACAGCTAACAGACATCGACACTGCCAGACTTGTTTACTTTAGTTATTTTCACAGCATCTTATCGTACGGCATTTTGTTGTGGGGTAGTGCATCTGATATAAATTCTATATTTATTCTTCAAAAAAGAGCTGTCCGAGCAATCTATAACATCGGAGCCCGGGATACACTCAGAGATATTTTTAAAGAGATTATATATAACCACCCAATATATTTATTGTAATATCTTGTACGTTAGACATAATCTTAATTGTTATCTAAAGAATAGTGACAGACATAAATTAAATACTAGAAATAAGGACAAATTAATTACACCATTGTTTCGTCTAAAAAAAGTAAATAGATCGTTCATGGGGCAAAGTGTGCGCATGTATAATAAAATCCCACAATCGGTATTAAGTCTGCCACTAGATGAATTTAAAACGCAAAATTAAACGCGAACTTATGGCTAAGGCATATATACCATGCATAATATCTTGACGACGCCAATGTGTGGGGTTAATGCTGTTGATACTCACGTAGGCTAAAATGACATACTTGTTCTATTATATTGTAAACTAATCGTTTTAAAAAAGAGCAACTGTTGAGTTTCTTGCCGGTTTCTTCTCAACAGAAACTGCTTTCCGAACTGGTGGTAACTTACGAACGTATTAATTTTTATGTAAAATTTTTGACATTTCATAAGAACGCGCAAGCGTCTATGTGAATAAATATATTTTTGATTTTGATGTATTCAAGGATTCACCTTTTTTAGGGATGGGCTGCACTAAAACCGTCTTCCAAAAAATTTGGGCCAATACCCAAGGAGTAGAAGTCGAAATAGCGCGTGATAACCGATCCTAGTTCTGGAGCACATATTCTCAGCACAATTCCATCCCCACCATTGAGGTGGGAACCGGGACTATGCGCAGCAGACGCTTACTGAGTGCCCCCCGTGGGAGTCAGAGCGTCGGATCCTGGTACAAAAGATCGGGCAGGACTTTTCTCCACAAGTCGCAGTGTCGCCTGCACTGGTGGAGAAATCTAATTGGACACCACTGGTCTCCTTCTGCGAAGCTGTTATGTTCCAAAAGGAGATCGCTGAGCGGGAACGGGAAAGGGCTGACCCCGCTAGGAGACGAAGGCGCCAGCCCGGCAGAAACGGACGAGCCGCCCCGTCAACCCTGTAGTCTCTGGCTTATAGAAAAGGGGTAAGGTATCACCTGCCTGTCGTAAAAGGCGACTAAAAGGGGACACGGATTGGCAGCAGCTCGAAGTGGTCTTGAGCTGCTGCAAGATTGGGAGGGAATCGGGGAAGGTCTATCCTTCTCCGAGGCGTGCCCACGCGCAGTACCGAGGGACACCGGCGCGTTCCGTGGGAGATGCCGGAGTCCCTCCAAACGTACAGTAGTTGGCCACCGAGGGGGGTTTTAGAGGGTAAAAACCCCACATAACCCCCTCATGTAAGGTGAACAGGTATCTTTTGAAGATTTCCCATGATACTAAAACAAAATGAGGGGGATTCCTTCCTACCCACTCAACTTGTGTAAGTCAAAGGAAGAAACTAGAAGAAACTTGATGTCAGGCATTGTATTATCACACCACATAATGTTCCTTCATTATCATTTGGTGTCAATTTAGACACAAAAAGAGTAGCCAAAAGATCAACTTTCTCTTTTCTGTGTGGGTCAACGAGTCATCACCCCTGTGCAAAGATGGTAGAGAGGGCATAAAGAAATTCCCTTGAACAGCTCAAGCTAAATACCACAATTCACAGGTTCCGAAGGGAAGGCGAGGAATTTATTTCTCACCAACTCTGACAAATAAATGTGTTCGATGCTGTTGTGACTGTTCTTTTGAAGCAGCTAGAGGCTGTACTTGTGACTGGTATTTACATACTTTTGAGCTGTTATTGAAAGATTGCCCTAAAACTAATAATGACTAAAGCTCAATTTCTTCAGTCATCACCCTGTCTACAACTCTCTTCTTGCTGCATATCATAGACCTACTCAAGCCCCATATATAGGTATGCAGAAGACAGCACAGATATGTAGTGTTACGCCTATATTAGATCCGTGATTCTTCCTAAAACAAAAGCTATGGATCAGTGTTTTAATCTCACATTGCAGTCTCTAAATGGGGTGATGCCAAAATTGTGGGATGTAGAGCCATCAAAAAACAGTTGTGCCTTTTCTCCACAAAGAGATCACTCTCTATCCTCCTTTTAAAAGTGTGTCTATGGTACCTTCCAGCTATCTCAGTGGCAGAGAATAGTCTTTCTTTTCTTCAGAAATCTGTTTTGAGCCCAGGTGTAGAACAACCTCTTGGTTCTCTGTTGTTTACAATTTGTAAAATATACATTGAAGTGACAAACAAAATTAAGAATTATGGTTATCAGCGCAAGTAAAAATTATTATAATAATGGTAACTTACAGTGATTTTCATATTTATTTTAATTGTTTCTCCATCTTTGAAGCCTAGATCAAGTTGTTGCTGTTGTGACTGATCACCTTCTTGTTCTTTCTTCAACCATTTGAAGTGATCTTGAAGTGCAACATTAAGATCAAATGAATCTGATCTATCACCAAACCCTAAACCAATGTAAGCACTACGGCCTGAAATAATAATAAAAATCAAATTTTAATTTACCACTTGTCCTTATTATAAATTTAAATATTCAATCAGAATTTTTATTTGTATGAGAGATTATTATTTAACACTATTTATATTTAAAACTACAATACTCATAATAATGTTAAGACTGGTTATTGGATGAGCCTAGGATGACTTACCATTATCATCTTGAATTCTTACTACAAAATAGCGTGAACTGTCAGTTACTGCCTCCAGAGCCACTCCTGGATATTTATCAATAGGACACTTCGCAAACAATTCTCCGGTAGTTTTGTCCTCCAATTTCATTATCAGTTCCTCGCCTTTCGCAACAAGGCGCATACGCCCAGTCCATTGCGGTTCTTGCAGATTCCAATCCGCCGCCCTGAAAAATTTGTGAAATCTCGTATATGCATTTGCTTATAAAAAGAAAGCATCTACACGAACATTAATTTATTTACCTATATCCCCTATTTGATGTTCTTGGAGGTATTTTAAACACGAATACCTCATTCTTGACCAGCAATACACTTTCATATGTGTCCATTTTATGCTAATAAATATCCCATACAATCAATTAAAAAGATTACTCCTTAAGTTTAACAAGCGGTAGCAGTAAAAAAAGTACGTAAAAAGAGAACTAGACTTTTAGACAATACAGAACTGAGAACAGTAACACTAACAAGCACAGCTAGCCGTGTCGAAACTTTGACATTTAACCGTGACGTTCCACAACACAAGTCGACATAGATAACACGAAGAAATATTTTTTTACTGTATATAAGCGGTATTTTCACTTTTAAATTGAAGTAGATCTTGTCTTTCTTTTAAGTGGGAAAAATCCTTTTCGGATTCCCTGGCCGCCATGCGGGAGTTACGGAAGTACCCACTAAAAACCCACGTTGCACCTGCGCTGTCGCATTGGCGGGGACACGGGAACACGAAAACGAAATCTTCCGTGAACTCCGGTGCGACTGTGGCCTTCTCAGGCCTCCTCTCTCCGGGTGTTTAGACACCCGGTCTAACCAAATGGTGCCGTATCGGTGCAATGAACACGGCACCCCTCAAGCCATCCGCGGGGCAGCAGTTAGCTAGCGGGGCTTTCTACTAGGGTGGAAGGTTGCGCGCGTAGGCCAGCCTTCTGCGCCCTGGTCTCCAGCGATGAATTACCAGGGTGGCAGTTGTCTCACTTTCTCTCTTCGTGGCCTCCTTCCGGGCGATTACGTCTTCGAAGAATGCAAGGACGGCACTCCACGACCTCTCACTGTCCACCATAGGGCGGACCACGCGGGTAGCGAGTGATCGTGACCCACGATAGCTCTCAGCTCTCGGTGCTGCTCTCGTCAAGCTGGGCACTCGTCCAATGCGTGTTGTGCCGTCTCCTTGGCACGTAATTCACAGTTATGGCAAACCGCTGTTGTCTCCCTACCCGCTAAGCACCCGCCGAAACAGCCACGCCCTGAAAGAACCTGCGTCACCCGGTAGGTGAGGCGGCTGGACGCCCGTACAGCCACCGACTGAGTACGGGACGTATGGGTACTATCGTTCTTTGGCCGGCACTAGGGTGCTCCATTCCTCTCGGCGATAATTTATAGCACCTTAACGTGGTTGAATGTTGACATCGAGTATATTCGCGGCTTTACGTATTTGTGGTATTTAGATTCTCAATTATTAAGCCTTGATGATTTTTGAGCGAATGCACTCTCTCGGAGAGCACACCGTCCTTTATTTGTGCCCAAAAGTGCACAGTTTCACAATATTTATACTAGTTGTGAAGTCGTAGATGCCGCTGATATCAGAGTCAAAGCAGTGGTTTTGCCCACGTGTTAACCTAAGTGACGGCGATTAGTACCTCATGGTACAGGGGTGGGTCCACGGAATAGAGGTATCAGTGGAAGTGGTTCTCACAGTCCCTAATACCGGATCCGCTGTCAAGTTCAAACAAGTATAGGTAAGTATTTATCTTTACTTAATATGGCAATTATAACATTACTGTTAAATTGTCATTGTCAAATAAATGCCAGGATTCCTTCCATTTCCATTTAATAACATTATAAGAAGAAGAAGAAGAAGAACATTATAATTTACAAATTGATTTAAGTTTAGTTTACTTAACATAAAAAAATAGACCGCTCGGCATATTGACACAGCAGTTAGTATTATTAATTGTCTAGACATTTGGAGTAATATATGGACAGTATATCAATAATAATTAATTTGTTTTCAATTTGTTTTCATTTTAATTTTTCAGTTCCTGTTCCCATAATAATTATGGCATATCAAGTAAGTAAAATATTTATTAGTTCGATCCAATCTAGCAAAGATTTTATGTAATGTAAGCTTTTATTCTTTTATTATTCATATTATTTTTATTCATTATCTTTGATAGTTATCTTCTTACCAGTCACAGAAAGTTTCAGATTCCGCTACATTTAAAAGTATAACATTTGCAAAAAATGTATGTGTACTGTATATATGTACCTGTCCTACAATAAATACTAGAAGTAGATGAGCTGAATCTAAAGTAAATACTAGTAGTGTGACTCCCATGACTGACATGACATTGGCAGAATTCTTGTAAGAGAGGCCATTTAAAGAAGAAGTAAATACTAGTACTAAACTCTGGTTTGAAGTGGAAGTATTATTGTAGTATGTAATGTCTGCTGAGCTTAGTAACCAGGGCTGTACTTAACATTGACAATGCATTTGTAACCGGTTAAGTGTTGTAGATGTTCATGGGTGGCTGTGATCACAACATCTATTAATTAGAACCATTTACTTCTTTAATTAAATTCCGACACATCAAACTTTTTTCACAGTTCATAGATATGGGAGTCTGTTCCCAGGAATTAAATGTGTTAAAATGTGTAGTTATTTACAAAATTTAAATCTGTAATTTTGTTCAACGCTGTATAGAATTTACATAAACACGAGAAATCATCATTAGTGATAAGAGGCCAGTTTGACTTTGTTATATTGTGGTTCCCCTTCAACTGGATTTTCGCTTAGCCATAGCAGAGTGGTTTAAGAACCCTGGCAAAACCAAGAAGAACCCACATTAGGCCGCTCTGGGTAGCGTGTGGCTGACTGAGGTTGATTGTGATAAAGGTGAAGTCATTCTCCCTGTTTGAATCGGTTGTTTGAAGTGACTGAGTAGAGAGGTTTGCTCTCCAAGGAAGAGCTGCTAAGACAGAGTCACTAAAGCATGTAAAAGGGATCCCATGCTTGAAATGTAAAGTTATATTGGATTCTGTACATATAAAAATTTCCCCCACTTAAATTAAAATAAGGGGGGAGCCTTTGTGTAACTCTGCCCAGTTAAGCATATTTTTATACACTTTTCTATCTTTTTCTGTTGTTTACATTCACAACAATAAAAGCAATTGCTTTTATTGGTGTGTGATAAGTCGCCACTAAAAATTAACAATTTCCACGAATTCAGGCTACTCGCGTATATATTAAATTAAGGCGCTGTATGCAGTAAAAATAGGTTTTTCAAAAAAATTTTTAACAAAATCTATACATTTTATAGAAGCAAAAAAAAAATATGTTAATCTTGATCTTACATTCTAATGGACCATTGTTTTCAAAACATATTCTCGATATATTTTCTCGATAGAAAAACACGAACCTACCTATAAAACGTGAAATTCAAATAAAAAAATAGGTATAATAAATGAACAAATCTTAATGAAATTAATATCAGTGGTGTAGAATATATTAATAAAAAGGATTGTTGTTTTAATTTGTTGATTGATGTATATTTGTAAATATTAATTTAATTCATTAAAATTAATTCGAACGCGATGGCCAAAACACCGCGCCACCGCGGCGTTGTTTCGGTTCTCTTTCAACTCCACACGTTAAACAGAGAGCGCTGAGGCGCCTTGCTAGATGGACCTATGCCGCTCATCGCCCGTTCACCGTTACGAAATATGTTTCGTATTTATTTATTATTGAGAGTTTTAATTTTATTAGACCTTCGAAAACACGAAAATAAAAAATATATTTTCACATATTTCGTATTTATAAATTATTTGTATGTATTAACAGTTGTTAATTAATTTATTTAAAGCATAATTTCAATTTCTTATCTCGTGATTGATTGGTCTATCAGTCCTATACATACAGTGTATAGGACCATCATTCTATAGCTAAACAAACCAACTTTTAGTATTAAATTTTTTAACGTCATCTATTTTTTTATTAATTTATTTAATTGTTCACCCTAAAACGAAAATTTATCTTATACATGAAAAATAATTATTTTATAATTTTTTTTATAATTTGTTTATTTCCCATATGAGCCATTTTATAAAATAAAAACAAAATAATTAGTTGGCTAAAAATTTAAAGGGAAAATAATATAAAACATACAACTCCACTCGATTAGTGGTTTGAACTTGGGACTACAGCAATAGTTTACCGTTGTGTATGACGCTCGCACCAACAGAGTGCAGAGTGACAAAATTTCTATTCAAGATAAAATTGCCGTCGTTTATCGATACAAATAAGATATAATAATATTTCATTTTATTTGAAAAAGTAATATAACGTAGTAAGTCTTGAAAATTTAAAGGATAAATTAAAAGTCCTAATAAAATGTAATAAAAAAAGTTGTATTCGTAATTTCTGCAAAAATTTTGAGCCATTTCTTTAAAATCACAATATAAACCATAAAAACAAAAAATAATAACTATAACTAATTTGCTTTTATTAATTTATTTGACTAGAAGATGTATTTTTAATCAATTCCTTTTCCATTTAATTAAAAAAATAATAATAAACAGGAAAAAGATTTTATAAAATTGTTGATTGCTTTCTCATACTTTATATTTATTTTTTTATTATTCTTCCTATTATAATATAAAAGTAAAATACAATCATGGTCTATAAAAGATATTATAGGGATCATCTGTGTACATTTTCGAAAGCCTTCCATCATACTATCGATAGTATCCTACGGCCCATCACTACACACACACACTGGATTAGCCTCTGTCGCTGTGTAAAGTCGTGGCTGCTATTCAGCAACAACAAAACAAAAAGGCGGTAGGAATTGACAATTTACCTGGAGAGTTAATAAAGTATGGGGGAAAGGAGCTTCACGAAGCGGTCTTGAAGCTGTTTACAAAAATGTGGGATGAAGAGCGAGTGCCTGCTGACTTCCAAGTCTTCTCTCGCATCTGCTCCCTTATAAAAATAAAGGAGACCGCTCGGATTGCAACTCTTAAAGGGGTTAATCCCTTCTAACTACTTCAGGAAAGGTCTTTGCCCGAATTCTGTTAAACCGCCTAATACCACTGTCGGAGAGAGTTTTACCTGAAACCCAATTTGTCTTCCGACCGGATAGAGGTACCTGTGAGGCAATTTTTTCTGTACGCCAGCTTCAAGAGAAATGTAAAGAACAAGGTCAACCCATGTATCTCTGTTTCGTGGACCTTGAAAAAGCATTCGACAGCGTGCCTCGCGAAGCCTTATGGGTGGTACTAGCGAAACTGGGATGCACGGAGAAGTTTGTTAGGATGATCCGACTACTGCATGATAATATGCAATGCTGCGTAAGTTTCAACGGCGAACAATCAGAGTTTTTCGCCGTAACCTGTGGTGTGAAGCAAGGATGCGTCCTTACTCCTTGCACCCATTCTGTTTGCCTTATACTTCGCAGTAGTAGTCAGGGAGGCACTTCAAACTTTATCTGAGGGCATCCGTATTCGTTATCACACCGACTGCGCTGCGTTGAAAATTGATATGTCTTAATTTGTTTTATGCACTAAATATTTGCCGTATTACGTACTCAAGGCAAACACTTTAAAAATTGTTTTTTTTTTTTTGGTACTACTATAACATGTTTGCTGATAAAATCTTATAATTTAGATTATTTGTATAAATAGGAACCGATACTTTAGTCATCACACGCCTTGGCCTTGTTAAAAAAAGTTAGAAACTAGAAAGAAAATGGCGGTCGGGCCTGTATCAATAAATATGTCGAGTTGTTTTGTGATAAGTTTATCTTATTTGTTACAAAATGTAATTCAAGCGTAATGGAGAGTGTGAATTAAAGTGTGTATTATAACGGACTATTCGTTAATACGATTTGTTTCGACAAATATGTGAGAACAAATATAATAATCTTTCAATGATCGGAACAAGTACCCAAATGCAGAAAAATGGTAGACTCCCATTATTTGGTGTCGACTTTACTATTATTGTTTGTGATTCCATTTTCTCTACAAAGTGAAAATTATGAGTGTCCACAAAAATGCGATTGTCTCAAGCAATATGTGGACTGTTCAAAGAAGAATTTTGTTTCTGTGCCAAGAATTCCAGAGTGGGTGGAACAATTAGACCTCAGTTTTAATAAATTAAGTGAAGAAGTAACAAAGGCTTTCGACCAGTTGTATGCTCTTAGAGTTGTTAAATTGGACAAAAATGCATTTCATCACATACCAAGTTTTCTAAGAATCAACCAAATAGAAGAAATAAGGTTAAATAGAAATGATATTGAAAGTATAGACGCAGAGCTCTTCCCGGTCAACTGTTCCATTAAGTCTTTGAGTTTAAACAGTAATAAAATAAAAATAATTCATGAGGGAGCTTTAAATAACCTCACTAATTTAGTAGTTCTGAAGTTGAACCGCAATGAAATATCATCTCTGCCAAATCATTTATTTATGCAACAGTCAAAGTTGGAAATTTTGGAATTAAATCATAATAAATTACATGTTATAAGTGGTCTCCTATTTCAAGGTTTATCAGGTTTAACCACGTTAAAATTGAAATTCAACAATATAGATAACATTATGGATGGAGCATTTTATGGCTTTAAGTCTGTTAATTTATTGCAATTGGATCATAACCGAATCAAAACAATCTCAAAAGGTTGGATGTATGGATTAGAATCATTGAACACATTATCACTGTCAAATAATTTAATATCCAAAATTGACATAGGAAGCTGGGAACTTTGTAAAAATTTGGAAATGCTTGATTTATCACACAACTACTTAATGGAAATAGAAGGAAGAACTTTCCAGTATCTCATTAATCTCCATACTTTAAACCTCAGTAACAACAACATTTCTTCTGTGTCGCAGGAAGCTTTTAGTCATATAGTTCAGTTACAAACCCTATTATTGAATAATAATAAGATATCTTGGACTGTTGAAGATATGTCAGGTCCATTCTCAAAATTACAGAACCTAAAAGTATTTAACCTGTCTGCTAATCACATTAAATCAATTAATTCTAGGGCTTTTGAAGGCCTTACAAGTGTAATGGAA